GTCTGTCCATCAGTTGACTTATGATAATAACTGCACTATCACATTTGATAATCAATCTTTTGTGATTATGGACAAGATCACCAAGAAACTTGTCTATAAAGGTGTTCATAGTCATGGTCTCTATCAGTTGCCTTCTGGTTTGCCATTATCTACCCATGCATCATCTGCTTCTCCTGCCTTTCTTGCCACACTTTCTGTCTCTCCTACTACATGGCGTACCAGGCTTGGCCATCCTTCCTCTCAAAAGATGCAAGTCCTGATGAAGAAATTTAGTTTTCCTGTCTCTTCTACTTGTAATAAAACTCAATTGTGTACTCATTGTGCTGTGGCCAAGAGTCATAGATTACCTTTCCATTTGTCTGATACTACTATTAATAAACCATTGTCCCTTATCCACAGTGATGTTTGGGGTCCTTTCTCTTCTTCTACCTCCAGTATTAAGTACTATGTTCTTTTTATAAATGATTTTAGCAAGTTTACCCTGATTTATCCTTTGCTTTACAAGAGTGAAGTTTTCTTTAAATTTCAAAAATTTAAGGTGTTTGTTGAAAATGAATTTGATACTAAGCTTAAAATTTTTTACATCGATGGTGGTGGTGAATTTACCAATAATCAGTTTGAAATGTTTCTTAAAACTCATGGTATTTTGCACCAACTTTCTTGTCCGCATACTCCTTCTCAAAATGGAGTTGCAAAGAGGAAACATAGACATCTCATTAGCACCACCATTGCTCTTCTTCATTAATCAGGTCTTTCACTGTCCCACTGGTTTGATGTTTTGGCTATATCTGTTTTTCTTATAAATCGTTTACCTAGTTCCAAATTGCATAATAAAACTCCTTTTGAAATATTGTTTTATCGAGCACCAGATTTTGGTTTTCTCAAAAGTTTTGGATGTAGATGTTTTCCTTGGATTAAACCCTATAATTCTCACAAACTTCAACCTCCTTCCTTGCCTTGTACTTTTATTAGTTATCATCATTCTATCAAAGGCTATAGATGTCTTGATCCTCTTACAGGCCACATTTATGTGTCAAGACATGTTGTGTTTGATGAATCTTTATTTTCTTTGGTCACTTCTGATACACCATCTTCTGCTACACTGTTTCTTTCCTCTGGTTCTGTTCCTGTATTTTCTCAGCTTTACGCTTTCTTTTGGTCTACTCAGTCATCTACTCCATTGAGTTAGTCTACTTCTGTTTCACCTCCTCCTCTACAGGCTTCTCTGTCTTTTGCATCTCTGTCTCCATCAGTTTCTGCTTTTGTAGTTTCCTCTACTGCTGCACCTGTTCTATGCTCTCCTGTCTTTGCTGCACCTGGTCTAAATTTGTCTCCTCCTACTGTCCTTCAAACTGTGGCTTCCACCAGCCCTGTTCTAGCTGATCCATCCTCTTCTATTATTCCTATTGGCTCTTTTGTTATTGATCTCAGTCCTTATTCTTGTCTAGCTCCTTCCCTAGCTCATTTTCCTTCTCCTTGTCTAGTTTCCTTTACTATTCCAGCTACTGTTAATTTTCATGCCATGGTTACTAGGTCCAACGCCTCTCATTTCTCCTTTCTTACTTTCACTTCTCTTTCTCTTGATCTTTCTCTTATTGAACCTCAGTCTCATCATGAAGCTCTTTAAACTCTAGCCTGGACTCAAGCCATAAATGAAGAATTTCAGGCTTTGCAAAGGAAGAACACTTGGACTTTGGTTCCTCTTCCTACTCATAAGCACTTTATTGGCTGTAAATGGGTTTTTTGTCTTAAGAAAAATTCTGATGGAACTATTGCTCGCCATAAAGCCCGCTTGGTTGCTAAGGGTTATCTATAAGAGAAAGGGATTGATTATCATGAAACCTTCATTCCTGTCACCAAGCAACCTACCATTCAAGTGTTTCTTAGTCTTGCTCTCCATTTCAATTGGTCCATCAAGCAGTTGGATATCTCTAATGCCTTTCTGCATAGTGTGCTTGATGAAGAGGTTTATATGGTTCAACCTCCAAGGTTTGAAGACTCTAACTTTTCTTCTTATGTGTGCAAATTAAGTAAAGCCTTGTATGGTCTTAAACAAGCTCCCAGAGCTTGGTATTCCAATTTCTCTTCTTTTCTTCCATCTTCTGGTTTTGTTAATAACAAATGTGATTCCTCTCTCTTTATTCATCATTCTCAGTCTGTCATTTTGTTATTGGTATATGTGGATGACATCCTTATTGCTGGAAATAATTCACAGCAAATTTCTTCTTTGATCAAACATATGCATTCAGCATTTTTTATGAAGGAATTGCATACTATTTCTTATTTTCTTGGAATCTTTGTTCACTCCACTGTTGATGGCTTCTTTTTATCTCAGCAAAAGTATGCTTTTAAGATTCTTGCCAAGGCTGATATGACTAATTACAAGTCCTATTCTTCTCCTATGGCTACCAAGTCTTCTCATTCTCCTGACACTCTAGTTCCTTTTTCTCAACCCAATCTTTACAGAAGCATTGTTAGAGCTTTACAGTATCTCACTATTACTCGGCCTAATCTCTCATTTGCTGTGAATCATGTATGTCAATTCATGCATGCCCCAACTGTGGCTTATTTTAATGCTGTTAAGAGGCTTTTACGTTGTCTTCAACGTATTTTGCATTATGGTTTGCAATTTGGACCTAGCTCTTTGGATCTTCATGCTTACTCCGATTCAGATTGGGCTGAAAGTGTAATAGATCGAAAATCTACTACTGGTTATTGTGTGTTTCTCGGTTCCAATCTTGTTTCTTGGACTGCCAAAAAAAATGCACCATTTCTCGGTCCTCCACTGAAGCAGAGTATCGAGCTTTTGCTCAAGCTGCAACAGAGTTGGCCTGGCTTCGTATGTTTCTCCATGAGCTCCATCTGCCTTCCTTCACTCCTACTCTTTGGTGTGATAATCTTTCTGCCATTTTCTTAGCTTCTAATCCGGTATTCCATGCGAGGTCCAAACATATTATTGTGGATTACCATTACATTTGTGAGCAAGTTGTTGCTAAACAAGTGGTTGTCAAGCATGTCTCTTCGGTTGATCAAATTGCTGACATTCTTACTAAACCCTTGTCCACTGACTAGTTTACTGCTTTACAAGCCAAGCTCATGGTTCGTTCCTCTCCCATTTGCTTGAAGGGGCATGATGAGATTACTAAACCATCAGTTACACACAACAGAGTTCATATAGATGAGGCACAACATACCAAAGCTTCTATCAGTTAACATAACTGTATTTGTTATATTAGTTGAGTTGGTTATAATATGTTATATATAGAATAGATATAGCTGGTTAGGTTCTACTGATGTATAACTATAGATATGGTGTAACTGATTCTATTCATTGAATAATGGAGATTCATATCTTCTTCAAGGATATCATGTGATAATGTTTACAATTAATATTCATTTTTTATTTCACTTTTTCACTCTAAACACAAAGTAATAGGGTCTACCTCAATAAACGAGCGTAAAAATTTAATACAACTGTGATATTACGTCATCAGTGATACATGGTGTTACTAACTAATAAAAACTCTATATGAAATAGATGAATCCCTTTTTTACGATGTCACATATACCTAACAAGAAAAATAATAATAAATGATTGGAGGGTGATACCATGTCATTAGTATAATGGTTGTATTCAAATTTTTCTCAATAAATGCACATGAAATTTACTTACTTGTGCCGAGACATGAAAAAATGAGATAAGAAATATGATTATATGCAACATTTTCCTAAGTAAATTTAAAATATAAATTTTTCCATTATGTTTCAACTAGTAGTAAACTCATTCTATGCGTGAGATGTGAAAAAAGTTAATAATGTATTTATATATATAAAAAAAATAGATATAGTTATCTTTTTTGTATGCAAATTATAAAAATGAAAAGACTGATACCCAATTTTTTTTTTTTTTTTAGATGGTTGACCTACAATTTAAGTCTCACAATTTTACCACAATGACTTTATATGTCAATTATTGATTTGTCATGAACTCAAACCATGTAATGTTCAACCCCCTTGTTAGAGCTACAAACTTGGGTGGGCTTAACCTGATCAACTCAATTCTAGCCCAAAATTTTTAAGAATAAAGATTGAGAGCTTTAATTTTGGAGCTCTAAAGAGAGCTCTAGCGATGTGGCAATGGGTGGGCCCCATATGTGATGTGATGTGTGTGCTTATATTTTTATTTTTTTTTCTCTTGCCATATCATTAGAGCTCTCTTTAGAGCTCTCTATCATTGTTTAATTTTTAAAGAATCGAGCAACATATTTTTTATTTCGTTGAGGGTTTGGGCAAAAATTCAAAAACACGAAATAAATCCAGACAGGCTTGGATAGAAACACCAAACACTACAAAAATTTCAATTTTTTGCGACGGCATTCTTAATGCCGTCTCAAAAAAGTTTTAGCGACGACAAATGACTTTTAGCGACGGCAAATGGAGGGTTACAACAGAAGGCGTTGCAAAAACCTTGCCTTTTTTTACTGATGACAATTTTTACCTTTTGCGACGGCAATTTACTGTCACATATAATATGTAAAAAAGTCAGACCTTTTGCGACGGCACCGTTTTACCATCGCTAAAAGTTTTTTTTGAAACGGAAAAAAATGCTGTCACGAATGGTTTTGTTTTCTTGGAACGACATGCCCACTGTTGCCAATGGTTCTGATATTTTTGCGACGATATGGTGCCGAAAAAAAAAAACTGCAATATAATTATTAAAAATATTAAAATTGCCTGTTTTTTGCGACGGTGTGGTGCCGTCGCAAAAAATAAATGAATAAATAAACTGCAATATAATTATTAAAAATATTAAAATTACCTATTTTTTGCGATGGTGTGGTGCCGTCGCTAAAACAAAAAAAAAACCTACAATAAAATTATAAAAAATATTAAAATTACCTGTATTAAATAAAAAACAATTGAAAAAAAATCAATAATTGCATAATAATATAAAAATTCCTGTATAGAAAAAATAATTTCTCCATAATAAAAATATTCTTGCATTCATAACTATACATCAACAAAATTACCCACTACATAATGTTCCATAATACATATATAATGTTTAAATACATACTGTTGTTCATAATTTAAAATAACATAAACCAAAATTGCAAGTTTTGCTCATCATTCTCCGTGGGTAACAAAAACAAAAATTAGTCGTATTCTTCACAGACATGCATTCCACAAGAAGCAAACTCCTACTTGGGAAATATCTGAAAACAAAAAATAAATATAATTAATGACAATATAATTATGTTTTAATATGTTAAATACAAAAAAAAAACATAAAAATTTAACTACTATACAATTACAAAAATAATTAAGCAAATAATTTTGCCTAACCGAAATCTGGCTCTAACTCCCAAACTGGGAACTCGATTCGAGTCTCGTCTTCTCCCACAAGTCTCTCATGCCTATGCGGTTGTGTGTGCCAAGTTTTGTGCTACTTTTGACGTCGTTTGGTGATTTTGGGGCATTAACACCTTGAACTCTAAGTTTCTTAAGAAACTAGTTTGTTTAGAGTGAAATCCAACCCTAACTCCCAAACTGGGAATTTGATTTGAGTCCCATCTTCTCCCATAAGTCTCTTGTGCCTAGGCGGTCGTGTGTGCCAATTTTCGTGCTACTCCAATGCCGTTTGGTGATTTTGGGGCGTTAACACCTCGAATTCTAAGTTTCTTAAGAAACTAGTTTGCCTAGAGTGAAATTCGGTCCTAGCTCCCAAATCGGGAACCCGATTCGAGTTTGTTTTCTCCCACAAGTCTCTCGTGTCTAGGCGGTCGTGTGTGCCAAGTTTCGTCCTACTCCGGCGCCGTTTGGTGATTTTGGAGCATTAACACCCGAATTCTAAGTTTCTTTAGAAACTAGTTTGCCCGTCTTCTCCCACAAGTCTCTCGTGCCTAGGCGGTTGTGTGTGCCAAGTTTCGTGCTACTTTGACGTTGTTTGGTGATTTTGGGACGTTAACACCTTGAATTCTAAGTTTCTTAAGAAACTAGTTTGTCTAGAGTGAAATCGGACCCTAACTCCCAAACCGGGAATATGATTCGAGTCTCGTCTTCTCCCACAAGTCTCTCGTGGCTTGGCGGTCTTGTGTGCCAATTTTTGTGCTAATCCAATGCCGTTTGGTGATTTTGGGGCGTTAACACCTCGAATTCTAAGTTTCTTAAGAAACTAGTTTGCCTAGAGTGAAATCCGGCCTTAACTCCCAAACTGGGAACCCGATTCGAGTCCCATCTTCTCCCACAAGTCTTTCGTGCCTAGGTGGTCGTGTGTGCCAAGTTTCGTGCTACTCCGACGTCGTTTGGTGATTTTGGGGTATTAACACCTCAAATTCTAAGTTTCTTAAGAAACTAGTTTGTTTCTTAAGAGTGAAATCCGGCTCTAACTCCCAAACAGGGAATTCGATTCGAGTCCCGTTTTCTCCCACAAGTCTCTTGTTTCTAGATAGTTGTGTGTGCCAAGTTTCGTGCTACTCCGACGCCGTTTGGTGATTTTGGGGCATTAACACCTCATATTCTAAGTTTCTAAAGAAACTAGTTTGTTTCTTAAGAGTGAAATCCGACTTTAACTCCCAAACCGGGAATCCGATTCGAGTCTCGTCTTCTCGCATAAGTCTCTGATGCCTAGGCGGTTGTGTGTGCCAAGTTTCGTGCTACTCCGATGTCGTTTGGTGATTTTTGGGCATTAACACCTCAAATTTTAAGTTTTTTAAGAAACTAGTTTACTTAGAGTGAAATTCGGCCCTAACTCCCAAACCGGGAACCCGATTCGAGTCCTGTCTTCTCGCACAAGTCTCTCGTGCCTAGGTGATCGTGTGTGCCAAGTTTCATGCTACTCTAATGCTATTTGGTGATTTTGGGGCATTAACACCTCAAATTCTAAGTTTCTTAAGAAACTAGTTTATGTTTTGAGAGTGAAATCCGACTCTAACTCCCAAACTGGGAATCCGATTCGAGTCCCGTCTTCTCCCACAAGTCTCTCGTGCCTAGGCGGTCATGTGTGCCAAGTTTCGTACTACTCTGACGCCATTTGGCGATTTTGGGGCATTAGCACCTCAAATTCTAAGTTTCTTAATAAGCTAGTTTGTTTCTTAAGAGTGAAATCCGGCTTTTACTCCCAAATTGGGAATTCGATTCGAGTCCCGTCTTCTTTTACAAGTCTCTCGTGCCTAGGCAGTCGTGTGTGCCAAGTTTCGTGCTGCTCCAATGCCGTTTGGTGATTTTGGAGCATTAACACCTCAAATTCTAAGTTTCTTAAGAAACTAGTTTCTTTCTTAAGAGTGAAATCCGACTTTAACTCCCAAACTGGGAACCCGATTTGAGTCTTGTCTTCTTCCACAAGTCTCTTGTGCCTAGGCGGTCGTGTGTGCAAAGTTTCGTGCTACTCTGACACCATTTGGTGATTTTGGGACATTAACACCTCATATTCTAAGTTTCTTAAAAAACTAGTTTGTTTCTTAAGAGTGAAATCCAGTTCTAACTCCCAAATCGGGAATCTGATTCGAGTCCCATCTTCTCCCACAAGTCTATTGTGCCTAGGCGGTCGTGTGTGCCAAGTTTTGTGCTACTCCGACGCCGTTTGGTGATTTTGGGGTGTTAACACCTCGAATTCTTAGTTTCTTAAGAAACTAGTTTGCCTAGAGTGCAATCCGGCCTTAATTCCCAGACTAGGAACCTGATTCGAGTCTCGTCTTCTCCCACAAGTCTCTCGTGCCTAAGCGGTCGTGTGTGCCATGTTTCGTGCTAAAAATGGAAAATCCTTTGTCTTTCTTTCTAATTATGGAATTAACCTTTATTATTTTTGGCTGTGTACAGTTAATGTATGGTTATTCTTAGCTTAGAATGCAAATATATATTTTATACCTGATCTTCTGCTGGTGGTGTATATGGAGTCTCATCTCCTGCAGATTCTCTAAATACCCGATGGCCACTGCATGCATCAGGAGCCTATGACAATCCATACATAATGTATTATTCATATTTGAATTTTACTATATATATGTATATATATGTTGCGTGAAAATGTAACTATCAAACAATTTAATTTATATCAAACTTGTTTGTTGGGATCCACACTTGCCCCTTGTGACACAAAGGCCATCATCTTAGCTCTCATCTGCTGTAAATGTGTAGAAAACTCTGCTCGTATCTCCTCCCTCAGCTCCTCCCTTAACTTATCCTTTAGCTCTGCATGAACCTGCTGGGTGATCTGAACAATAGTCGATGGCTGGGGTGTTGATTGTGATGGCCCATCACCATCTTTATACATTGCGCTCCGAGGCATAGTTCTCCCATAAGAGCAAAAATATCCATGCCCGTCATGACCTATCAACTTATGGCAAATGGCATTCCTAACCTCTAAAGTCCGGCAATCCTCAGGTAGCATGAAAAGTTGACGATTAAACTCATCTTGTATTAAATAAGCAATACAAGCATATGTTAAATTAAGATGATTGACACACAAAAAATAAAAAATAAAATTTAAATTCAATGATAGGTGTTTGGAAACTAACAAGGTCTGGATAACCTTAAGGTTATTTGTTCTACGTGTCATAAGCCAAACATTCATTTTATCAGTAGACTCCCCGTTGCTGGTCATCTAGGTTTTTTTAGAAATATGAAAATTAGAATCCAAATAATTTTCAAATATATAAAAAAATAAAAACAATAAAATATAAACCTTATGCCGGCTTTGAGCGAAAGTAGTGTGGTATGAGGTATGCCGTGAGCTCGCTGATTTTTAGCGTTCCTCGTTACAATTTTCTGTAATAGATTCAACAAATGGCAGTTCATAAATATGAGTTGTATGTTTACATATCATACATATAACTTATTTGTATACCTTAGCATCGGAAGTACACCAATACTCCACAAGTTCTTCCTATTGGCTTAGTACAATGTGAAAAGGAACATCATCCTTCAAATTGGGATCAGAACTTCTAGGCTTGAAATACTTGGTCTTAATCTTATTCTTGTGATCCTTCCATATGCTGTTGTAGGTTTTCATGTAGATTGGCTTATACTCCTCTAGACATATATTCAAATTGTCCTACAAAACACAATTTGAAGGTTTAAATAATAATAACATAATTTTAAAATTTGAATTTTTAGACAAAAATATACTTTTACGTTTACATCCTTCCAGATAGCATCAATAATATCGTCAGGCATAGTGATCCAGTCAAGAAAAGTAAGAGGAACAATGTTACCGTTGCGTACAATAATGCCAAGTTGAGTAGTTAACTTAGACATATTATCCCCTATTGGGCAGTGATTTTTGTCAAATTGTATATCCAACTTTGTACTAGTACCCCACTTCTTAATGCCCTTGGCACATCCTCTACCATGCCTAATTGAGGTTGATGAAGAACTAACATGACCTGCGAGATACAATAAGAATAAACAATATACAATGATATTAAAGAAATGCAAATTAAAAAAATGTTAATACAAATCGAATTCTTATACCTGAGGTGGGCTGTGAAGAAGTCAAAGGGTCTGGAAAATACAATGACAATAAACAAGTTATATAAAATGAGAATAAATAAATGTATATTTAAATAATTTTCATACAAATCAAAGCAAATTTATATACTTGTAGTTGGCTGTGAAGATGATGACTCTAGTCGGGATGATAGCTACTGCAGTGCCACTGATGGTGGACGCACCGATGGTAGGCGTGGAGGCTAAGTAGATGATAACTGTTGTGGTGCACTGATGGTGGTCGATGCGGTGGCCCCTCTGATGGTGGTCGCTACGGTGGCTGGTCAGATGGTGGTGGCACTAATGGCCCCTCCGATGGTGGTCGATGTGATGCCTCCTCTGATGGTGGTGTTATTGATGTCCTCTTATGTACCACATCGGACATCATGCGCAGGGAATGATCAGGCTTTTTCTTCCTTCCCATAATAATCTGCAAGCAATATAACATTAATTGACATTAGAAACATAGAGAATAGTTTTGAATCAACTATAATATGACATTAATTGAACTAATACAATTACAAAGACAAAGTAAATTAAGAAACTGATGATTAACTACAACCTTGGCCTTAATTCAATTACTGATGTTGATTAAATATCAGTCTATTTCAACATCAACTGTTTCTCCTTCTGCGGCTTCCTTTACCCAACCAATTTCTTCATCACGGAGCATTATATTTTCTTCCAATTGTTGGCTCATAGATGGCTCGATTTTTGGATCAGTCGAATTCATATCAAATAAACATCTTTGAGACATCTTCACCACCACTTGCCAGTCTGGTTTTAATGGGTCTGCAACATACCAAACTTGCTCTGCTTGGGATGCCAAGATGAAAGGTTCATTCGTAATTCGATCATCTCGGTACAACAAATGATTGAAGTTGACCAACATGAAATTGAAGACATCTTTTTTCTTCCCGTGAATGTTGTCAATCCAATCACACTTAAACAACACATGTTTTTTCTCATTGAAATATCAAATCTTAACAATATCTATCAATTGTCCATAATAGTACACAGACCCCACATGAGGATTCTTGTCTTTCCGACTAGCATAACTTATGGTATCTGCTTTCAAAGCTACACCACAATTTTGTGTGACTCGACGATCATCCATGGCCTTTACTCGATACCAAAACCCATTCATTATATACCCATTGAACCTCCTCCACAACCCATAGCTAGAAGAAAAAAAGAGTATCTTTGGATGAAACTGTCATAATTTTAGGAACACAATCTTAAGTAAGACACACCTCGATTGTGATACATATAGTTGAGAAGAATGTTTGTTGGCAATGTGTTGTGGACAAATTAGGGGTTTGTTAGGGAAAAATGAAGGATGGGTAAATGCTTAACGTGAATTTACAAGGATATGAAATATAGAAAAAAAACCCCTTACATTTTGCAATTAAAAAGGTCGAATAAAGCACTTATTTACCCTTTTTTACCCAATTTTTAACCAATTCCACAATGAACAAGGAATGAGGAAAAGAATTGTTTTCCTTGAAAGTTTGGTTGAAGGAAAAGTTAGAGTTCCCGACGAGGTATTCATCCAATATATCGCCGTCATGGTTTGAACTCACATCTCTCTCTG